TGAAGATATCATCATATTGCACCCAAAATTTGCCAGTGCAGGCTACTGAACATATGGCCCTGAATGACTAACTATCCTGCGAGATGGGGACTTTTAGTAACGCTGCTTCCTTATTCACTCTTGTGTTCATGATATTCTCACAGTGCACCCAGAGTTTGCCAGTGCAGACTACTGATCACATGCCTCTGAATGATTAACCATCCTGTGTGATGGGGATTTATATCATCACGTAGCTAGCTTTTTGACACACTGTACTCCTTTTCATATAGTCTAGGGTAGACGCACAAATGCAGATGTACCTAATTGTGCTAAAATAAAATAAAAAAAATCATAATAACGTGGTTGAAGATATGGTAACCAAACTACACATCTGAAGATGAAGAAGACGGTCCGTTCTGAACTATTTTCAAGTAGACTTGATAATGGTCCAGGACGGACCGAAACGTCGTCGTCTCTTCATCTTCTGATGTGTGGTTTGGTTCATTCGTGACAATGTACAGTACTTATTCTTTTCTAGTGATGATGTACAGTAGTTTTCTCGTCCCTCTAGTAGTTGGTTTCATTTAGCTTGTGGTGTTCAGTAATTGTTTTCCTCCCTTCTGTGTTGCTGTGCAGTAGTTGTTCGACAGCTTGTGGTGTTCTACAGTAATTGTTCTGCACCCTTCTGTTGTGTTATAGAGTAGTAGTTTTCCACCATCCTGTTGTGATGTAAAGCAGTTGTTCTCTACACTGCTGCTGTGTTCCACAGTTTTTGTTCTCCCTCCTGTGGTGTTGTACAGTACTTGTTCTCTCTCCTGTGGGGCTGTACAGAAGTTCTCCCTCCTAGGGTGTTGTACTGTACAGTAGTTCTTCACCCCCCCTGTGGTGTTGTATACTGTTCTTTTCCCTCCTGTGGTCGTGTTCAGCATATGTTCTCCAACCGCCTGTGTTGTTGTACAACAGTTCTTCTCCTTCCCTCTTGTGGAAAACAGATTATTTTTCTTCCTCGTGTGTTGTACATCTGTTGTTCTTTTATACAATAATTGTTCTCCTCTCTGCTGTGGTGTTGCATCATTACAGCATTTCACAGCTGCACAATTCACCAAGTCACCATAAACATTGCACTTCACTGTACCTAGTGTCTAACAAGTCACCATAAATCACTACAAGTCTGCTCACCAGTTTGTCATCGATGTAAACCTCCCAGAAGTCGACCTTGAAGTAGTGTCTTACGAGACTTACACCTCAACGACTAACCATTAGTCGTTGAGGTGTAAGTCTCGTCCTAATCACACACTCAGACCTTGACAAAACATTCAGAAGAGTGCAAAAGACTTTGTGTAAATTATTTACATAAATTTCACAAATACACAAGTGTGGGATTTTACGTTAAAGATTTATAATAGTCGGTCAAGTTCATAAATCAAATACCGATATTAAAATGGATTAATCTGTTAACCGCGGGAGGGTCATGAAGGCCATCATATGTGTTCTGACCAACTAGCAATCATATTTTTGTCTTGAACACAAGTCAAGACAACAGTAAAAACACAATACACCTCTCAGTATATATATCGAGAGTGACTTAAGAGTGCTGCAGTCTTCCCTTATTACAGCCTCCAGCATGGCTGACAGACACCATCCCTTCTCACTCTCGACGGTCAAGACACATCGCCACCTCCTTAGAGCCTCAACACTTGGCGAGGATCTAGAGACTTGAGTGTTGCTTCCCTGTCTCCTTGAGGTTGAGACGGGCCCCATATTGGCGCGACCTGATCCCCAAAAATGCATACGACGCAACATACGACATTCGCAAATATACGATACAAACAACATACATCGCATACAATGTGCACAACATGCCATACAATACATACAACCACCACATTGACCAAAGCTCAACCCCCCGTATGCATAACTAGGTGTGTACAACGTTTAGACCAAGATATACGCTATACACTACATAAGACACAACACAACGGACAAATGCTCGTTAATTCAGCCACCAAACTCCTATTGATGAATAAAAAACGGTTTACACACAACTCACGCAACCCATCCTCAGACAAAGTCCATTCCATCCAGCAGTCGACCCCAAGGACGCATTAAATTTTTTTAACATGCTGTTCATTCATAATAGGAATTTTCTCAAATATAAATTAATATTGCTATATATTAGCATACCAACTGTACCCGGCCATGAGTTGCTGTGGCTCAGCAACCTTCCCCCGTCTCCCAGTCCTCCCCACTATTTCCCCCCCTACCCCGTTCCCTCGTCCTCCCAACCATTCTCCATTCCCCTCGTCCCACCATTCCCCACTCCCGTCCCCTCGTCCTCCCCACCATTCCCCACTCCCTCGTCTGATGATAAAAATGATCTGATATTCCCATCAGAAAATTGGGAACATCAAATGATCTGGGGCTAGACTCACGAAGAAGTTACACAAACACTTACGAACCTGTACATCTTTTCTCAATCTTTGGCAGCTTTGTTTACAATTATTAAACAGTTAATTAGCTCCAAAGCACCAGGAGGCTGTTTATAACAATAACAACAGTTGATTGGCAAGTTTTCATGCTTGTAAACTGTTTAATAAATGTAACCAAAGCCATTAAAGATTGAGGAAAGATGTACACGTTCGTAAGTACTTGCGTAACTGCTTCGTGAATCTGGCCCCAGATGTTCCCATCACTGAAATATAAGAAAAACAGTTCAAAATACGAAATGAAAAATAATGAAAAAATACAAAAATAAAATATACTCACGAAATGAACGATATGGTAAACAACACAGCTCAATTCCAAGGCAATGTCACACAAAATAATTAAATCAAAATTAAAATTGAAATTTATGAAAATAAAATTTATCAATGAAATCGGAAACATTGAAATGGAATCGTAACATATTTAGTATAGCGTGTGTTGGTCTTATGTGCAACAGATGGTGCTGTTTTTAAAAAACGCATGTTTTTACCTGTCACAGGTGTGGCATCTATATAGTAGATATATACAAAGACGCGCTTATTCGAATGCAACGTTGTCAAAATTTCAAAGCAATCGGTAAAGAGGTTTCGAAGATTTCCCCCCCATGAAAAACACAGTTTTTCAGAAAAAGCATTTTTTTTTTTACCGTCACAGATGTGACATCTATATAGTATGTATATAAAAACCTGCTCGGATGCGAATGGAATATTGTGTGAAAATTTCAAAGCAATCGGTGAAGAACTTTCGGAGGTTAGCGGTTTATGCACAAAACGAACATTTTCATTTTTATTTATATAGATTGTGCATATTTAGCAGTGAAAACCGGTCACACACGACTCTCAACTGATTTCGTTCGAACACTTCCGGAACAAGTGCTTCACTGACGAATTTTGTTCGAATCACAACGCTGTAAATGCTTCACCCACGTACTACAAATAATCGCCAACAGAACCTAAACACCTTATCGAACCAACGCTAAACTTTACATAGAAATTTAATATATAATACTAACAAATTTTTAATAGAAAGCGTGTTAAAATTAATGAATGCGTCGGGTAGAGGCGGGAACGGCTGCCGCATTAACGAGCCTGGCCTGAAAACGTGTTGAGGGAAATGGGTTTCATAGATGGGTTTAGGGAGGTTGTTCTTGTTCCTGTTATTATCGTCGAAGGGTTTCCGAGCTTGGAGTAATTTATTATCAGAATGTGTGTTGAATTTTAGCCCAAGACAAAGAGAGACGTAACTTCGCCCGGACAGTCATGTCCCATTTCTGTACATTTTCCTTAAATTTGACGTTTCGGTAGTTTTATTCTCGGGGGAAGGGGGGGGGGGGTGTATAAATAAAATGAAAAGCCACAAGTGAAGGAAATAATTTAAAAATGGGAAATGAGTTATATTAATGACGTAAGTTTTCTTACCTTAATTCCACTCACAATGACTCCTTAACTGTCCGCCTTGCCGATACGATTCTCTAAAATGTCTCCTGTTAAGCCTGACAGCTGAATGGACGGTGCTCGGGATTCGTAGTCCTGAGGTTCCGGGTTCGATCCCCGGTGGAGGCGGAAACAAATGGGCAGAGTTTCTTTCACCCTGATGCCCTTCTTACCTAGCAGTAAATAGGTAGATTGGGAGTTACAGATGCTACGGGCTGCTTCCTGGGGGTGTGTAACAAAAAGGAGGCCTGGTCGAGGACCGGGCCGCGGGGACGCTAAGCCCCGAAATTATCTCGAGATAACCTCAAGATAGCCGGAAGGTTTTGTTTCTAATAGAGGATCCAGCAGCCGTGAGGCAACAGTTAAGAAGAGACCTCGTGTTCAGTACTTGTGATCCCTCGACAACTACCACTGTATCGTAGTGGCAGAGTCTATCAACGGTAAATGATAGACCTACCTTGAGATGGTTTCGGGGCTTAGCGTCCCCGCGGCCCGGTCCTCGACCACACTTTCAGGCCTTCCACAGACTGGAAGGTCAGGCTCTGTTGCTACATGAAGGGCTGTGCAGGTAAGAGGTTTTGTGTTCATGGCATAGATGCAGGTCTTGTCTATCTCCTGATATAAGGTCACTGTTTATGGAGCGTGGTAACTTTATTGGCAATATCTGAGGGTGGTGATGACGTGTATTTCTTACAATAAAAATGTTAATATTTTTATCATGATAACATGTAATATTATCTCCCTCCTGGTTCCTCACCACCTTGGCTGTTATCTAAGCATTAAACAGCCTCGTGAAGGCCGACAGAATGGGTAGTATGATTCCTAACATTAACATTTTCCGTATATACAAATTCGAGCTCGAAGTCAATTTTTTTCCATTTTTAAATATGAAGATGACCTCGGTAAAAAGAAAATTTATATAACTATAATCCATTATAGCAGCGGGTCACAGGATGAGCAAGTGTTGTGTACAGTAAGCAAGTGTTGTGCACAATAAGCAAGTGTTGTGCACAGTAAGCAAGTGTTGTGCACAATAAGCAAGTGTTGTGCACAGTAAGCAAGTGTTGTGTACAGTAAGCAAGTGTTGTGTACAGTAAGCAAGTGTTGTGTACAGTAAGCAAGTGTTGTGTACAGTAAGCAAGTGTTGTGTACAGTAAGCAAGTGTTGTGTACAGTAAGCAAGTGTTGTGCACAGTAAGCAAGTGTTGTGCACAGTAAGCAAGTGTTGTGCACAGTAAGCAAGTGTTGTGCACAGTAAGCAAGTGTTGTGTACAGTAAGTAAGTGTTGATGGCAGCAGCAGCCACTCATTGAAGAGGAAGGTGGAGAGGGCAGGGGTATGGAGGCAGAGTGGTTGTGTCTGTGTAACCCAGCAGAGTCCCACTCCACACACGCAGGACCACCGCGCCACACAACACGCAGCGCCTCGGTCGAAGATACCCACGCCTGGCTTCTTGGTAAATATAGTTTATCTTGGTTATCTTCATCACCACCATATCCCCCCACCAAAGTAATCCCCCAAACAATGTTCAGCACTAACAGCTCCTTGGAGCAGTTGTGACTTGAAAAGAAAAACCCACATTATTTATGTAATTGAATTGTGATTTGTCTAGGAGTGTTGACCCCATTCCTGCTCGAGAAGAGACAGCCGAGGCCGCGGGTCTGAACATAACGTAGTTAAGTAAGCCTTACCTTAAGCACCCTCCGAGGGACGACCTTTTACTGAGCTGTTGAGGTTTTGTGTTGTAAAGTGTTCCCTCGTGTTGGGACATTGTCTCTACACTTTAGTTTTTAGTTTATCGTTCCATTACGCCCTGTGCAAGTTTTTATACTGAGATTTGTTGTTTTAACTTAACATAGTGGGCGCTTCCCTCCCACAGCAGCGGTGTCCTCTTCCCTCCCGCAGCAGCAGTGACCTCCCACAGCAGCAGTGACCTCCCACAGCAACAGTGACCTCCCACAGCAGCAGTGACCTCCCACAGCAGCAGTGACCTCCCGCAGCAGCAGAGGACGCAGACATGGTTCACGTGGGAGTTCTCTCACTGCTGGGGCTGGCGGCCATGTTCCTGGCAGGCAAGTTACCTACATTGTTTCCCTTCTCTCAGTGTTTAATGGTGTAGTATACTCTTATGGCTTTGTAATGGTGTAGTATACTCTTATGGCTTTGTAATGGTGTAGTATACTCTTATGGCTTTGTAATGGTGTAGTATACTCTTATGGCTATGTAATGAGGTAGTATTCCCTAAAGGCTTTGTAATGGGGTCGTATATACTCTTAAGGCTTTGTAATGGGGTCGTATATACTCTTAAGGCATTGTAATGGGGTGGTATATTCTTAAGGCTTTGTAATGGGGTAGTATACCCTAAAGGCTTTATAATGGGGTAGAATACTCTTAAGGCTTTGTAATGGGGTAGAATACTCTTAAGGCTTTGTAATGGGGTAGTATACTCTTAAGGCTTTGTAATGGGGTAGTATTCCCTAAAGGATTTGTAATGAAGTAGTATACTCCTAAGGCTTTGTAATGAAGTAGTATACTCCCAAGGCTTTGTAATGGGGTAGTATACTATTAAGGCTTTAGTGTTTTGATAATTGTTGGTTTGTTTGTTTATATTTGTTAATGTGAGGCATATTGTGTTGATTGTTACTCGCCCAGTTGTTCCTGAGGGTCGAGATCTAGCTCCTGGGCCCTGATGTTGCACTCCCCCAGTTGTTTCTGTGGGTTAAGCTGTAGCTCCTGAAACCTGCTGTTCAAGGTGACAGACGGACGGTACCTCTCCATTTATTTATTGACATTATATATAAATATAAAATATATATATATATATATATATATATATATATATTGGTGTATACTGGCAGCAGGTTTTCTTTCAAACATGTTTCATTGAATATGACCGCATATTCTGCGTTTATTATTTTCTGGTTTAGGGCTTCTATCCCTCTAACTATTTTCTTAGCATCAGGGCTTAATTGGAATATGAGTTCTCCAAAACTCATTTTCGTACTTTTAAGGTGAAGAAAAGAAGTGATTTACTATAGAGTGTATTACACTTATTTGTATAATTTGCACGACGTTTCGAACCTCCATGGTTCATTCTCAAGTGAACAGATCTTACAATACTAGTTGATTTTATACCCGCATTAGGTCAGGTGATAATACAATGAAGGTGAAAACATGGGGGGATACATAAGGGATAAACATAGGGGCTGCAGAAGGCTTATTGGCCCATACGAGGCATCTCCTATCTAAACACAAAGATTAATCCAGTGTAATTGGCCTGTTATGTTGGACATTGTCTTCTGTGTTGGCATCGATATGTTCTTGTCTTGTCCTTACTAGTAAGGACAAGACAAATAAGGACAAATAAGCCTTCTGCAGCCCCTATGTTTATCCCTTATGTATCCCCCCATGTTTTCACCTTCATTGTATTATCACCTGACCTAATGCGGGTATAAAATCAACTAGTATTGTAAGATCTGTTCACTTGAGAATGAACCATGGAGGTTCGAAACGTCGTGCAAATTATACAAATAAGTGTAATACACTCTATAGTAAATCACTTCTTTTCTTCACCTTAAAAGTACGAAAATGAGTTTTGGAGAACTCATATTTCAATTAAGCCCTGATGCTAAGAAAATAGAGGGATAGAAGCCCTAAACCAGAAAATAATAAACACAGAATATGCGGTCATATTCAATGAAACATATATATATATATATATATATATATATATATGGTTGAGTGGATATATATATATATATATATATATATATATATATATATATATATATATATATTATTAAATATGACCGAAAAAGTAAGATTAATAATTCTAACACGAATTTTCTCTATCTTTCTTATGTTTCTTTTCAGAGATAAGATAGATAAAATTCGTGTTAGAATTATTAATCTTACTTTTTCGGTCATATTTAATAATATATGTCTACAGGAAAGACTGCTACCAAAATATACTAATAAATAAATATATATATATATATATATATATATATATATATATATATATATATATATATATATATATATATATATATATATATATGACAATGTCAGACCACGGAGGAAAAATGAAACAGGAATTTCCTTAAGTACTTTCGTATATTAATACATCTTCAGAAGGAGTCCTTCTGAAGATGTATTAATATACGAAAGTACTTAAGGAAATTCCTGTTTCATTTTTCCTCCGTGGTCTGACATTGTCACATTTTTAATCACGTGTTTTTTTCGTGATATACACACATATATATATATATATATATATATATATATATATATATATATATATATATATATATATATATATATATATATATATATATATATATATATATATATATATATATATATATATATATATATATATATATATATATATATATATATATAATTATTATAAATAATAGTAATAATTTAATATAATATATATATAATACACACACACATAAGAAACCCTACCTGCAGTAGATTCGAACCCAGAGAGACAGCTGTTCGCGCAGCTTGACATAACTGGTACACCTTAACCGATTACACCAACTCAGACCCTTCAAAAGGAATGGAAATTCCGAGGTATTTACCCCAAATATCTCTATTCCTCGAGGGAACCAGAGCAGTTTTTTTTTATTTTCTACCACAGACGTGGCCACACATTTACAATGCTAACCAACATATATACATTTTCTTCTGTCCTCCATGGACAGGGTTAGAGATGTGTTAAACATATATTTCAAGGGTTTATTGAACACTCAACCACTGAAGGTGATTCGGTGCTTTTAAAATGCTAAGCTAACCTACATACGTAAATACATAGATACACAGATTTATGTATGCCTTACATAAAGTGTTCGATGTGTCTTTTACATAGTGTCATTAATGTACATTTACAAAGGTGAAATGTAGTTCTGATCAGCTTCCATATATACTTTATACCCATACATATACACACACACACACATATACATATATACACACACATGCATTCACATACATTTAGCTCACACTAGTTTCTTTATCAGCTATCTCACCCTGTCAGAGTAAACCAGAGCAGTGTATGGTCAAATCACGTTTTTCATCAAGCAACTGCATTACAGGGAGAACTCGTGTGTCTATTCACGACATGAATAGAGTATAATGAATAGAGTATAGTCGTGAATAATCACGACATGATTACGGGAGGCGACCCGTAATTTCACTTAATTAACGCAGGAAGCTTTCCACAACCACTGGGGGACCTTCCTTAATTCCTATTCAGTCAGTTCTATCAGTGACGGATGACTACAGAATATGACGATGCACGTGGATCACACAAACAGTCTTTTGCCTCTGTAGATCACGTGGTCACGACTCTACTTGTGAGTTATAGTTGTGAGAATAGAAACGTAAAGATTTCAATATCTTCGAAGAAGTGGCTTGTAGTGTCCAACACTGTCAAATGCAAAGTAATAAAGATGGGAACTGGGCAAAGGAGATCTAATACATGACACAGAATGCAACAGGGAAAAATGTTTATTTTCAGAGAAAAAGAACTGTTGATAAATGAAATACTAAACTATCTTCTGATGCACAGATCAACTTAATAAATCAACTGCATGTGCGAGGTGGTTCATTTCTGAAATTAAGGACACTAGCATAGCGGGCACATGTTGACCAAACCACACACTAGAAGATAAAGAGACGACGACATTTCGGTCCGTCATGGACCATTATCAAGTCGATTGTGATAATGGTCGATAATCACAATCGACTTGTTAATGGTCCAGGATGGACCGTAACGTCGTCGTCTCCTCATCTTCTAGTGTGTGTGGTTTGGTCAACATTTCTTCGACCACGTTATTGTGACTCTAAATCTGCAAAGAGGACACATGTCAAATACGAAGTAAAGCTGGACACAGTCCGAAGGAATCAAATGTGTCCCAGGGTCGAGATACACGAGCGTAGACGTAAAGTTATAAGAATTAATCTTCATCTGCGGAAAGGTAAACACGGTAGACGTAATCACGACATATAAAATGTCAGTTTACAAGCTGGACAGAGGTAGAGTATTTACAATAGGATGTGCACGAACAAAAAAATAGGTAAAACTAAGTACTTAAATGAATTACATGAATATCTTAATTATTTTTGTCAGGGTTAGAATAAGAAAGAATAAGGATCAGGTAAGAAAAGATGTAGTGGAGGTCGACTTCTCCATCGACTTATTAATATGTAGATCTGACATCCCACAAAGGTTCGAAAAGCAGCTTAGTAATCGATTGAAGGATTGGAAGCGGGATCACAAGAGTTGGAGCTAGTGCCACAAACACAGCTAGGCAAGTATACACATGATTTAAACCATCGTACTAAGGATGCTTCTCTCTCTCTCTCCCGGCAGGAACGGAGGCAAGGTGCAGCTCCACTTCACAGATCGAGTGTCACGCGAACACTCAGTGCATCGCCATCACCTCTGTGTGTGACTCCGGAAAACAGTGTAGCGACGGCTCCGACGAGGACCCCTACGTCTGTGAGGTACTTAATTGTTTGCAAGTGCTTCTGGTACAGCTGTTCCATGATCAGTCAGTGGTATGGACGGTTTGTGCTGTATCACACTTGTCTTCTGTGTTGGTTATCTAGCCAACTCCTGCTCTGGTCACCTAGTACTGTAATGATATCTTTTTCACCTGACATTCGTCAAAATATTTTCCTGTATTATGACAGTTGTCTAAAATATACAGCATGAAATCGGTCTAATTTAACGAGTGTGATTCTCTATCGGGCAATGGCGAGGATTTTCTTGATGGAGTCATTAGCTTCCTCATGTCTTGCAATCCTTTCCTATGATTTACCACACGTCAGGTCATGGTAGCCGTATTGGTTTCCCGATGCACCTGTGTTCGGTGGTGCTAGGGGCGTCAAGGTGAAGCTACACCAATATTAAGTCATGGGTAAATTGACTTCTGTAGGTGTAGTTAGGAAAGACAAATAAAAAAGTAAAAAAAATCCCATCATAAGGCATTTTTCTTGCGAGGAGGAAGGATTTGTTCATCTTGGATGCATTTTCAAGCATTGTCAATGCAATCTTTTTCCACCATGAGACTATTCCAGCGAGCCAAACGAGTCGCTTATGGTCTTTGGTAGCATCTTCTCTACTAATTTTCCGCAACAATACGCAAGGGTAAGAATGTCGGTAGTGCTACTTATGTTATGTGCATGTTTGTGTATCCATCGAAGTTTGACCGGTTTGGCCACAATACGAGGTTACCGAGATTATATATATATATATATATATATATATATATATATATATATATATATATATATATATATATATATATATATATATATATATATATATATATATATGTCGTACCTAGTAGCCAGAACGCACTTCTCAGCCTACTATGCAAGGCCCGATTTGCCTAATAAGCCAAGTTTTCATGAATTAATATATTTTCTATAATTTTGTTCTTATCAAATGATGAAGCTACTCATTTCATTATGTATGAGGTCAATTTTTTTATTGGAGTTAAAATTAACGTAGATATATGACCAAACCTAACCAACCCTACCTAATCTAACCTATCTTTATGTTTTAGGTTAGGTTAGGTAGCCAAAAAAGATAGGTTAGGGTAGGTTAGGTAGTCGAAAAACAATTAATTCATGAAAACTTGGCTTATTAGGCAAATCAGGCCTTGCATAGTAGGCAGATAAGTGCGTTCTGGCTACTAGGTACGACATATATATATATATATATATATATATATATATATATATATATATATATATATATATATATATATATATATATATATATATATATATATATATATATATATATATAAGCCTATACTTGCATAAACCACAAGTGAAGATTAACAATCTTTGGACAATACCCACCAGTGGGACTCGAACCCAGAAAGCACAACTACCTTCCAGTAGCTGCCATAACTAGTACGCTTTAACCCACTACACCATCAGTACGTGTACGCTTTACACCCACTACACTACTTCTTTTGTAGGGTCTGATGGTGTAGTGGGTTAAAGCGTACTAGTTATGGCAGCTACTGGAAGGTAGTTGTGCTTTCTGGGTTCGAGTCCCACTGGTGGGCGTTGTCCAAAGATTGTTAATCTTCACTTGTGGTTTATGCAAGTATAGGCTTATAGCATGGACACGAGTTCTCTCACATTGACAGTGGCTTGATGAAAAACGCAGACTAACCTCACACTTATCTGGTGCCCTCGGGAAGTGGAGATATTTGAGATGTATATATATCTCGAAGTCTCTACTTCTTTTGTAGGGTCTGATGGTGTAGTGGGTTAAAGCGTATTAGTTATGGCAGCTACTGGAAGGTAGTTGTGCTTTCTGGGTTCGAGTCCCACTGGTGGGTGTTGTCCAAAGATTGTTAATCTTCACTTGTGGTTTATGCAAGTATAGGCTTATAGCATGGACACGAGTTCTCTCACATTGACAGTGGCTTGATGAAAAACGCAGACTAACCTCACACTTATCTGGTGCCCTCGGGAAGTGGAGATATTTGAGATGTATATATATCTCGAATTCTCTACTTCTTTTGTAGGGTCTGATGGTGTAGTGGGTTAAAGCGTACTAGTTTTGGCAGCTACTGGAAGGTAGTTGTGCTTTCTGGGTTCGAGTCCCACTGGTGGGTGTTGTCCAAAGATTGTTAATCTTCACTTGTGGTTTATGCAAGTATAGGCTTTATATATATATATATATATATATATATATATATATATATATATATATATATATATATATGTCGTACCTAGTAGCCAGAACGCACTTCTCAGCCTACTATGCAAGGCCCGATTTGCCTAATAAGCCAAGTTTTCCTGAATTAATATATTTTCTCTAATTTTTTTCTTATGAAATGATAGAGCTACCCATTTCATTATGTATGAGGTCAATTTTTTTTATTGGAGGTAAAATTAACGTAGATATATGACAAAACTTAACCAACCCTACCTAACCTATCTTTATAGGTTAGGTTCGGTTAGGTAGCCGAAAAAGTTAGGTTAGGTTAGGTTAGGTAGGTTAGGTAGTCGAAAAACAATTAATTCATGAAAACTTGGCTTATTAGGCAAATCGGGCCTTGCATAGTAGGCTGAGAAGTGCGCTCTGGCTACTAGGTACGACATATATATATATATATATATATATATATATATATATATATATATATATATATATATATATATATATATATATATATATATATATATAATAACTTTTAGACACCCGAACCCACCAGGAGACTTGAACCCTGGCCATCAAGATGGAAGATGGCAGGTACGCACTTAATCCACTACACCATACTCAGAGCCTTAAAAGAGGTGGGAGTTCCGGAGTATTTGAACCCCTAGATACCCCCTCCCTCCCAAGACCACTAGAGATAGTGAGGGATTACTGAAGTTTTCCATCAAACCCTGTTATATGGGAGAACACGGTGTCCATGCTTAATGCACACACTTGCTTAAACCACAAGTTTGAAGTTTACAGCTTTTAGACACCCAAACTCACCAGGAGACTCGAACCATGGCTATCAAGATGGCTGGTACACACTTAATCCACTACACCATACTTGGAGCCTTAAGAGGTGGGAGGTCCGGAGTATTTGAACCCCCAGATACCCCCCCCCCCCCTCCAAAGACCACTAGAGACTTCAAACTTCAATCCCTCACTGCCCAAACTTGTGGTTTCTCAGAGAAGAAAATAAATAGTACTCAGAGAAGACCTTGTGGATCCTCACTGAACACTTTGATATTTTCTTCTCCTACCACCTCTATTCTTTTGGTATATGTGTATATACAGTATATCTAACTTTATTTTAAAATTTCATTACACAAAAAGGGTTACAACACTGGCTACATGCAGGGTACAAGGCTACTTGTCATAAGTTGTAGAGCTCCTCTAGCTCCTCAGATGGCAGGTAGGAACCATGAATGCAGTGAGCATTTCCTCTCTGGATCGCCACACTAAGACGCTGAAAGAGAAAACTGGCAGCTCTAGGGTCTCTAGTTGTTTCAATTAGCTTAGACCCCAACTCCTTCAAAAAACTACCAGCACTTTTACCCCAGTCACCAAGTGTCTCTAAGGCAATGGGAACAAAATTGTAGTGGTGATCAAGTCTCCGTATTTACGTGACTTGGCTGTTTCCCGGTGATTGGCAACACCTCCTGCCTGTGCAGCACTGAAGTTAACATAGGGGGTTGGCTAAGGTTGAAACGCAAGTGAAGTCCCACACCAACTGTCTACTACTCTTCCAGGGGTTCACCGTGATCCTGCCTGGGCGACCGATAGGCTCATCAGAGTTGTGGGGCATTAGGTAACGGGGCTCTCTCTCTGCTGGACAACCGGCCGTGGTAAGGCTTCTCTTGATAATGTCATTAGCCTCGCTAATGTCGAGCCGCCTGCTATCGTTGTACCTATCGATGATTTCTGTGTTGTTTGTTAAGATTTCTCTGGTGATGGTCTGGTTGTGAGAGGAGATTATATGTTCCTTGATGGAGCCCTGTTGTTTATGCATTGTTAATCACCTGGAAAGAGACGTTGTTGTCTTGCCTATATACCGAGTTCTTCGGGGCTTACAGTCCCCAAGTCTATGCATTCAAATGCCCACTTGGGGACAGACTGACGCGCTTCATTGCTGATGTACGAGAAAAGATTGTTCAAATATATTGCATGCACATCCGGTACATCGTCCACCTTCTTTTACAGAACCATCGGTATAGCACTGATACACATCGTTACCCCATAACCTGGGTACTCTCAGTGATGCTGCGCAGTTTAAACTGTTATAATAATGTAGAGTGTACACTATCTTGGGTGTAATTACAAAATCAACTAATAGATCCCAGTTATCCCTTGGATTAATTGGTTGACCAATCATTGAGTTGGATACATATTTGATATTTTGATGGAGTTGGCTACCTTGTAAAATCATGCATAATGAGATTTCGCTATTCTTCTATAGACCTCAGGTGAGTGCAGCATATTAGAAAGTTTAATTTGAAACTTCATGTGTTGTGTTGATCTACTCAATGCCGTCACGCCGAAAACTCTGCTAATGAACAAAATTCTCTCACTTATGGTAGGGAATTTTAACTCTGCTCTCATATTAACTATTCTCGTGGACTTTGGAGCCCCAAAGATGAGACGCATAGCTTCAATTTTCAACGTTTCAAGAGATTTTAGCTTTTTGTCTGTATACAGTGTGATATGTAGAGCATTGTAGTCAATCACAGAGCGTATAAATGATACATAGAACTTTGTAACAAGTCTCAAGTTAATTCAATGATTGACACCAACAAGGACTCGCAAGTTTTTACGAGGTGTATAAACCGTGGTGAATGAGGTGTAGGAATACCGAAGAGCCTTGCCTCATCCCCCGCAAATAAAACTAGGTGAATACTAGGTAATAACCTGGGTTTGTGTTAAGGAGGATACAAGTAAACTGGGTATACGTTAACGAAAAGGACACTGATGTTCCTGGGTACTGGTGTATGTGGGTATACACTAACAAGAGCACTGACATACATGGATATGCACTAACAAGGACACTGGCATACCTGGGTATGCACTAACAAGGGCACTGGCATACCTGGGTATGCACTAACAAGGGCACTGGCATACCTGGGTATGCACTAACAAGGGCACTGACATACATGGATATGCACTAACAAGGACACTGGCATACCTGGGTATGCACTAACAAGGGCACTGGCATACCTGGGTATGCACTAACAAGGGCACTGGCATACCTGGGTATGCACTAACAAGGGCACTGGCATACCTGGGTATGCACTAACAAGGGCACTGGCATACCTGGGTATGCACTAACAAGGGCACTGACATACATGGATATGCACTAACAAGGGCACTGGCATACCTGGGTATGCACTAACAAGGGCACTGGCATACCTGGGTATGCACTAACAAGGGCACTGGCATACCTGGGTATGCACTAACAAGGGCACTGGCATACCTGGGTATGCACTAACAAGGGCACTGGCATACCTGGGTATGCACTAACAAGGGCACTGGCATACCTGGGTATGCACTAACAAGGGCACTGGCATACCTGGGTATGCACTAACAAGGGCACTGGCATACCTGGGTATTCACTTACAGGGGCACTGGCATACCTGGGTATGCACAAACAAGGGGACTGGCATATATGGGTATGCACTAACAAGGGCACTGACATACCTGGGTATGCACTAACAGGGGCACTGGCATACCTGGGTATGCACAAACAAGGGGACTGGCATACCTAGGTATGCACAAACAAGGACACTGACATACCTGGGTATGCACAAACAAGGACACTGGCATACCTGGGTATGCACAAACAAGGACACTGGCATACCTGGGTATGCACAAACAAGGGCACTGGCATACCTAGGTATGCACAAACAAGGACACTGGCATACCTGGGTATGCACAAACAAGGACACTGGCATACCTGGGTATGCACAAACAAGGGCACTGGCATACCTGGGTATGCACAAACAAGGACACTGGCATACCTGGGTATGCACAAACAAGGACACTGGCATACCTGGGTATGCACAAACAAGGACACTGACATACCTGGGTATGCACAAACAAGGACACTGACATACCTGGGTATGCACAAACAAGGACACTGACATACCTAGGTATGCACAAACAAGGACACTGACATACCTGGGTATGCACAAACAAGGACACTGGCATACCTGGGTATGCACAAACAAGGGCACTGGCATACCTGGGTATGCACAAACAAGGGCACTGGCATACCTGGGTATGCACAAACAAGGGCACTGGCATACCTGGGTATGCACAAACAAGGGCACTGGCATACCTGGGTATGCACAAACAAGGGCACTGGCATACCTGGGTATGCACAAACAAGGACACGGGCGTGCCGGGGTGTGCACTAACAGGGGCACGGGCGTGCCGGGGTGTGCACTAACAGGGGCACGGGCGTGCCGCGGTGTGCATTAACAAGGACACTGGGCGGGGGGGGGGTACATGGGTATGGGTGGCCGGGATTTGGATTAATTAAAGTTGCTTGAACAGCTTCCCTCAACTATCAGCTGTTGTGACTAGTTATAATAATAACCTCTTGTGTTTGTGTGTTATAGACCTGGACGAGAAAGAGCCCACAGTGTAGCGTCGGACAGATATACTGTGGCGGCTGTCGCTTGATAGCTGATGCTTGTAAAAGGTCAGACTGTAACCCCCGGTTAAATCCTCGTATGTGTGAGGTGAGTGTTGGTTCAGTATCTTGTGTTCCTCTAAGAATGAGATTAATTTAATGAAGGTTATAATTTTTGGGTCAATTTGGGTTTACATCAATCTATAACGAGTATTCTAAATTTATATGAAATATTTAATTTTCACGTAATCTCTCTCTCTCTCATATATATATATATATATATATATATATATATATATATATATATATATATATATATATATATATATATATATATATATATATATATGTTGTACCTATAGTAGCCAGAACGTCGTATTTGGCCTAATATGCAAGGCCCGATTTGCCTAACAAGCCAAGTTTTCCTGAATTTGTATATTTTTCCAAATTTTTTCTTATGAAATGATAAATCTGCCCATTTCATTGTGCATAAGTTAATTTGTTTAAATTTGAGTTAAAACTAACGTAGATATTTAACCGAAACTAACCAACCCTACTTAACCTAACCTATCTTAACCTAACCGGGGAGCCGGTCGGCCGAGCGGACTGCACGCTGCACTTGTGGTCCTGTGATTCCGGGTTCGATCCCGGGTGCCGGCGAGAAACAATGGGCAGAGTTTCTTTCACCCTATGCCCCTGTTACCTAGCAGTAAAATAGGTACCTGGGTGTTAGCTGTCACGGGCTGCTTCCTGGGGGATAAAGCCTGGTCGAGGACCGGGCCGCGGGGACACTAAAGCCCTGAAATCATCTCAAGATAACCTCAAGATAACCTAAACTATCACAACTAAGTCAATAAATTTTGGCCTTAATATAAAATAATAATAATAATTCAAATAAAGTATTTGGAAAAAAAATTATTGAAAATAACGAAAATCACTCGGCCTATTAGACAAATTGGACCTTGTATAATAGGTTGAAAAGTGCGTTCTGGCTACTAGGCACGACATATATTTATATATAATATATTTATAAATAAATGTATAAATATATATATATATATATATATATATATATATATATATATATATATATATATATATATATATATCGCCTCATTCTTTGGGGCACACGTGAGGAACACAAATGCGAACAAGCCTGAATGGTCCCCAGGACTATATGTAACTGAAAACTCACACCCCAGAAGTGACTCGAACCCATACTGCCAGGAGCAACGCAACTGGTATATACAGGACGCCTTAATCCGCTTGACCATCATGACTGGACAAGTTGCATATAGTTGCATATTGCATATAGTCCTGGGGACCATTTGGGCTTGTTCGCATTTGTGTTCCTCACGTGTGCCCCAAAGAATGAGGTGATTTGATAAAATGCTATGCCCAAGATTACCATCCGAGTGCTGGCGGGGAAGTGGTTCAAAGAACTTCGGCTATCACTTCCTTATGTCCGGTCGTGATGGTCAAGCGGATTAAGGCGTCCTGTATATACCAGTTGCGTTGCTCCTGGCAGTATGGGTTCGAGTCACTTCTGGGGTGTGAGTTTTCAGTTGCATATAGTCCTGGGGACCATTCAGGCTTGTTTGCATTTGTGTTCCTCACGTGTGCCCCAAAGAATGAGGTGATTTGATAAAATGCTATGCCCAAGATATATATATATATATATATATGTCGTACCTAGTAGCCAGAACTCACTTCTCAGCCTACTATTCAAGGCCCGATTTGCCTAATAAGCCAAGTTTTCCTGAATTAATATATTTACTATAATTTTTTCTTATGAAATGATAAAGCAAGCCTTTTCTCTATGTATGAGGTCAATTTTTTTTTATTGGAGCTAAAATTAACGTAGATATATGACCGAACCTAACCAACCCTACCTAACCTAACCTAACCTATATTTATAGGTAAGGTTAGGTTAGGTAGCCAAAAAAGCTAGGTTAGGTTAGGTTAGGTAGGTTAGGTAGACGAAAAAACATTAATTCATGAAAACTTGGCTTATTAGGCAAATCGGGCCTTGAATAGTAGGCTGAGAAGTGCGTTCTGGCTATTAGGTACGACATATATATATATATATATATATATATATATATATATATATATATATATATATATATATATATATATATATATATATATATATATATATATATGTCGTACCTAATAGCCAGAACGCACTTCTCAGCCTACTATTCAAGGCCCGATTTGCCTAATAAGCCAAGTTTTCATGAATTAATGTTTTTTCGTCTACCTAACCTAACCTAACCTAGCTTTTTTGGCTACCTAACCTAACCTTACTTATAAATATAGGTTAGGTTAGGTTAGGTAGGGTTGGTTAGGTTCGGTCATATATCTACGTTAATTTTAACTCCAATAAAAAAAAATTGACCTCATACATAGAGAAAAGGGTTGCTTTATCATTTCATAAGAAAAAAATTATAGTAAATATATTAATTCAGGAAAACTTGGCTTATTAGGCAAATCGGGCCTTGAATAGTAGGCTGAGAAGTGAGTTCTGGCTACTAGGTACGACATATATATATATAATATATATATGTCGTACCTAGTAGCCAGAACGTACTTCTCAGCCTACTATGCAAGGCCCGATTTGCCTAATAAGCCAAGTTTTCATGAATTAATTGTTTTTCGACTACCTAACCTAACCTAACTTTTTCGGGCACCTAACCTAACCTAACCTATTAAGATAGGTTAGGTTAGGTTAGGTAGGGTTGGTTAGGTTCGGTCATATATCTACGTTAATTTTAACTCCAATAAAAAAAAATGACCTCATACATAATGAAATGGGTAGCTTTATCATTTCATAAGAAAAAAATTAGAGAAAATATATTAATTCAGGAAAACTTGGCTTATTAGGCAAATCGGGCCTTGCATAGTAGGCTGAGAAGTGCGTTCTGGCTACTAGGTACGACATATATATATATATATATATATATATATATATATATATATATATATATATATATATATATATATATATATATATATAATATTATGTGAGAAATACTATTCTGACAAAATTCAGGTTATATATCGTTTGCATGTTTAATTCATTTTATAATCAAACTAAAAACTTTAAGTATGTTACAATTATTTCAAAATGTCGAAATTACAGTATTACCCCGCCGGCACTCGGATGGTAATCTTGGGCATAGCATTTTATCAAATCACCTCACCTTGTAATTCCATGGATTTAAATACCAGCATATTTAAATATACTTTCAAACACACATTAAGACTCAGTTAGGTCAATGTCAACATTAGTGAAGTTTACACAGTTTCTTTTCGGTAAATATTTCATTAAGGTATTTAGTCAGAGGTTTATGGTGATGTATTCATTCTGGTTCGGTAACAGGGTTGTTGATTTGTAGAACCAGTTACCGCGTAACGTAATATAAGTAGGATCCCTTGATTGTTTCCAGCTTAGGTAAGACATATATATGAATGATATTGGGTGGATATAAACAGGAGCGGCGTCGTATGGGAGAATTGGCCTTCTGCAATTAGCTTCGTTCTTATGCTCATATGTTCTTACTAAATATTAAAAAAGGATTCATTTAGAGATTTTACTGTCAGATTTCCACTCAATGAGATTTATTAAAGGTTTTCATTTAGCGAGCTTTATTTCCAGTGAGTTTTTCATTCAGCGAAGTTTTTACTCAGTGAGTCTTTCATTTAGTGAAGTTTGTAATCAGTGAGGTGTACATACTTAGTGGTGTTTCTATTCACTGTTTGCATTGTATTCAGTGAGATTTATATTCAGTGTGTATTGTATTCAGTGAGATTTATATTCAGTGTGTATTGTATTTAGTGAGATTTTTGTTCAGTTAAGATTTCGTTCTATGAATTTTCTCGTGTTTGTTTTTACATTACATAGCCGGTACCTCCTCGCTAGTTAACCCAAGTTACATTATACATATCACCAGATTCTCTTCATCCAACGCATAATACTGTCATTACACTGAAGGTGTTGTGTGTGTGTAGTAGGGATCGTTAGCCTGTTCTTCCACCGTGAGTGTGTCTTGGAGCCCAGAGACCAGAATTCATTCCCACCACATTACTTCAATATTTTATAATACGCCATGTCTACTCATTCTCACCATTCACGCAATCACACGTGCGTGCGCACGAACACACACACACACACACACACACACACACACACACACACACAGTAGTGTGTGGTAGAGCTAGGAATTATCTCCCCCCAAAAGAACTAGGAAACAAAAGGCTGGCATACCGAAAGGGAAATTATGAGGAGATGAGAAGCTTCCTTAGGGAAATACCTTGGGACACAGACCTCAGAGCTAAGTCAGTACGTGATATGATGGACTATGTCACCCAAAAGTGTCAGGAGGCAGTAAGCAGATACATCCCGGCCCAAAAGGAAAAATCCGAGAAGCAAAAGAAGAATCCATGGTTTAACAGGGCATGTATAGAAGCAAAGGTACTGAACAAAAGGGCGTGGAGGAACTTCCGAAATAACAGAACACCAGAAAGCAGAGAGAGATACCAGAGAACCAGGAATGAGTTGAGCCCACGCACACCCCAGATTCCCCAGGTTCCCCTTCACAGGCCATCCCATCCCAGTCCCTTCCTGTTTCCCTGCTTCTGGGGAAGCAATAGGATCTGAGAAAGGACAGAAGAGAGTCAGTTTCAGGTTTATGTACTTGAACATAGATGGGATCACAAGCAAGGCAAGTGAACTAAGGGAAAGAGTACAAGAAGTGAACCCAGTTGTAATCGGACTCACAGAAACAAAATTCTCAGGAATAATAATGAATGAGGTGTTTCCCCAGGACTACACTGTAATAAGGAAAGAGAGGGAAGGAAGGGGAGGAGGTGGAGTAGCCTTACTAATGAGAGAGGAATGGAGTTGTAATGAATGAACGGAAAGGACCAAAAGTAGTACTGTAGTAGCAGTGATATATAACCCTCCACCAAATGAGAGAAGACCAAGGCAAGAGTATGACAACAACAGCAGCATGGCAATTAACACTATAATTGAGAGGGCAGCCTCTGCTGCCAGTAGAAATAGATCTCATCTGCTCATCATGGGGAACTTCAATCACAGAAGGA